GACCCTGTTCCCTCCTGCCTTCAGTTTAAACGAAATGTCCCGTTATGTGTCTTTCTTACATAGGGTTGATGGAAGAGAACGCCATGTTCACAGATAGACCCTTGAGCCCAAAATGCCAGCAGTAAACCACATTCCCCGGTAGCCGTCCCCCTTGGGAGAGCAGCATTACTGGAAACGCTTCCTGTTCGTTTCAAGTGTCCTGACAAGAGGGGGCTTGGGGAGTGTTGCCACGGAGGGATGTCGGGGCCCGTGTGGTCCGTGGCGTGTACTATAAAGCAGAGCATTGACCCAGCATTCCTCGGTTGGGCCGCACCGCAGTCTTTTTTCTAGTATTTTTCATCTTTTCCGGGGCCAACAGGATTAATTTCATAGATGTTCGGATTGCATCTAGCCGTAATGCATTTTACCTTTGAAACTGAGTCTTGGGGTGCCTGGGTGGCTCATTCGGTTAAGCTTTGACTCTTGATTTTGGCTCAGGTCGTGATCTCAGGGTCATGAGATCGAGCCCTGCATTAGGCTCTGTGGTCATTACAGAGTCTGCTCAAGATTCTCTCTCCCACTGCCCCTCCCCCTGCCCACACTCTCTAAACAAATACGCAAACAAATAAAATATTTTTCTTTTTTTATTAACATACAATGTATTATTTGCTTCAGGGGTGCAGGTCTATGAATCATCAGCCACCCTATCCTTCTGCCCAGCAGCCCCCAGTTTGCTTCCTGAGATTAAGGGTCTCTTATGCTTTGTCTCCCTCCTGATTCCATCTTGTTTCATTTTTTCCCTCCCTGCCCCCCACGACCTCCACCCTGCCTCTCCACTTCCTCATATCAGGGAGATCATATGATAGTTGTCTTTCTCCGATTGACTTATTTCGCTCAGCATGATACCCTCTAGTTCCATCCACATCGTCGCAAATGGCAAGATTTCATTTCTTTTGATGGCTGCATAGTATTCCATTGTGTATATATACACCACATCTTCTTTATCCATTCGTCTGTGGATGGACATCTGGGTTCTTTCCATAGTTTGACTGTTGTGGACATTGCTGCTATAAACATTCAGGTGCATGTGCCCTTCGGATCACTACGTTTGTATCTTTGGGGTAAATACCCAGCAGTGAAATTGCTGGGTCATAGGGTAGCTCTATTTTCAACTTTTTGAGGAACCTCCATGCTGTTTTCCAGAGTGGCCGCACCAGCTTGCGTTCCCACCAACAGTGCAGTAGGCTCCCCTTTCTCCGCATCCTCACCAGCATCTATCGTTTCCTGACTTTTAGCCATTCTGACCGGTGTGAGGTGGGATCTCACTGTGGTTTTGACAAACAAATAAAATCTTTGAAAACAAGTTGCATCTCTGTTCGGGAGTAGAAAGGATCGTTTGTATCAGCTTGGTGCTGTCTTCAAGAACATTTACAGAGGTCAGTCTAGACAGCAGTGTTGGGAGCACAGATAATACCTTCCCTGTCGTTTCGGAGTTCTTCCCTCGGGCTGTTATAAAGCATGATCACAGGGAGAGAGACTCGGTGACCTCAACCCTTTTGATGCGTTTTCATGGCCGTGTTCCTAGTTCTTTTGGGGACAGAAGTAATTAAACTATTTCCAGGTCTTTAGAGGGTTGCAAGAGAAGGAGCTGAGTCAGCTGTCCAAGGAGCTGACTTGAAAAGGAACATGGAAGGAGTGCGGCGAGATTGGAAGACACTCCAGGCCTTTCTCTGGCAAGCGTTAGCCAAACTCAGCACTGCCTAGGACGGAAGCTTGTTCTTTGGCCCCAAGTGTAAACAAAGGGCTACAGTTTCAAGATAAGACCTACTTGCGAGGGTGTGTGACTGCCGGAGCTTCCATCCTGAAGCTGGAGCGAGCACAGGAACGTGAACCACGGCCCGCTCTGTTCTATCTGCGCCGCTTATGATGACGGTGACGTGTGCTCGTCTTCGCATCCCCGTGACCCTTCCGTCCCGGCCTTCGGTCTTGATCCGCAGGAGTGGACCGGGTCTCCACCCTGGGGCCCCTCCATCCACGAAGCCCATCCTCGGTAGATGCTCTCCTCTGTGGAGAGGAGGGCGGTGTCTCTGGGATGCACAGTTCAGCTTTCCATGGGCATGATTTTGAAATGGTTTAGGGGACTGAAGAGTTGTCTGTTTGCTTTGGAAAAAGTCTCTCCAGCGTGAAGCAGGTGGGCTTGTGGCTGGCTCTTTTCACAGGAGCTCCTTATGCTCCCAGATGTTGTCTTCCTGGAGTCCTGCTCTGGGCCCAGAGGTTCACATCTGTCTTGGAGAAGAGCTCAGTCCCATGGCAGATACTAGATCCCATTTCTATCTGACTTCGAAAATCTGGTACCAGTATCGGAGTCCCTCCGTGGGAAGCCAGAGCACTGAGGGTTGAAAAGCCCTATTTAAACAGCTCTGTGTGATGGGCATGCTCTGGGGAGCTACTATGAAAACCTCAGGAGGGACCCTGAGAAACACCGGTGTGTGTGGGATGGGGTGGGGGGACTCTGGGTCACGAGCAGGGTCTGTCCCTGTTGGCCGGGTTTAGGCAGACATCAGCCCTGGACATCCTGGTCCCTGGGAGGCTCGACCGGCTGTGCATCGCCTTGGGGCCCCCACCTTCTGCGGCTCCAAGTGGGGTCCCCTGTGTGGTGGTATAAGCTTGTCCCTCGTTCACTGGGGCCGAGAGAATTTAATCCCCCTTGTGGATAACACCTTAATGCAGCTAAAAGAAGATTACTTATTTTTAAAGCCTTTCCATTTTGTTTTTGTCCATTTGACAAATGAAGCATTTTTATTCCCAGGGTGGCAGGGCCAGCGGCCAGCCAGGACGAGGCTCGGTGCCGTCACTGTCCCTTAACGGGCTCCAAGCCACAGTGCCAGCCGCGTTTTGCTGGGCCGAGCTGCAACGCTGGGGCAACCCCAGACAGCTGTTGTGGCCAATTCTACCCACTGAGTGCTGCGGGGAGAGCGGGGAACGGTCCGTCTGTGCAGCCAGTTCTACGGAGGGGGTCGGGACCCCGGGGGGTGGGAAGACCCTCCAGCGGCTCTCGGTGACAGGACATTGGGACCCATAAATGCTCTGTCTTTAGTGCTCCACTTCCGTGCTTGATGGGACCTGAATAGGGGCTGCGGCCATCGGAGTCTTGCATCCTACAAGTTTTAAAGCCTTTAAGTCTAAACCGCTTGTTTATTTATTTGTGCTTAATCATGGGCTCAGGCTGCTACGTATCCGGGGATGGGGTCGGGGGAAGCTTTGTGTGGAACTGGACACAACAGAAACCACCTCCTTCTTGCTCGAGAGCACGGATAGAGCCCTGGGATTTTATACATATTGTGAAAATTCGAATCAGCTTGTAGAGACAGAAGGTTCCAGAGACCTAATGGGAACCCAGCAGTCACCCTCTGGTGTTTTTCCCAGAGCCGTGTGAGGCCCGGGCCGTCGAGATGGGGACAGCAAACGCGCTCCGTGTCATGTCACTTGTGTTTTTAACTCATCTGGCACGAAAATACGTTCCTCCTAAGAGGACTGTTTATAGAGCATTTATTTTTAAATGAATAGACGACATTTTTTATACAAACATTTTTTTGTTCCAACCTTTTGTGAACTCGGGAGAGGCGGTAACATGATGAAGATATGTAAACTTGCGCACGTAGCTCGAGCTTCTGCACGACCTTGCCAGGCCAGGGGACAAGAGTGTGCGGCGGTTTCTGCCAGGGCCGAGAGCAGGCGATGCTCTCCCTTCTCAGTCTGTGCCATCGAGAGCCTTCGACGGGGTGGGGGGATGCTGGGGACGGATGCTGGGGATGGATGCAGGGGGCATGCAGGGAGGGACCAGCATCCGGCTCCAGTCTCCTCGGGAGGGGCAGAGGGGCCGGGCGGGAGGCGGGGGAGGGAAGGACGGAGTTCGCTGGAGATGAGAAAGAAGAAGGGGGCAGATGTCCTAGCCTGAACTTGGGGAAACAGCAGGCCGGATAAAGGAACTATTTGGATAATCTTTCCACTTGGTATTTTATTTTAGGTTCTGATAAATCCACCAGAGAATTAAAGAATTTTCTTTTCCCTCCCAAGTGACAGCCGGCAGCGTTCCCTTGGGAAGGTGGGCGTCCCTCCTGCCTTCCACTCCTCCCTCCTGATGACTTGGCCCCGGCTTGGCACGCTGGCCACCTGCCCGGCGCCCCCCACCGCGCCCCTCCCAGCCGGTGCGCACCTGGCACCTGGCTCCTCATCGTCTCCAGGGGCCGCTCGCCTTCTGCCAGGGCAGGGGTGACCACACGTTCTAGAAGGTCCTCTCCTGTAGAGGGATCCGGGGGCAGAAACTTGATATTTCTGTTTGGTAACTGCTTTCTCTGAAATGCTTTGTGATTTTTATCGGGAATGTGGCCTGGTTTATTCCTGGTGTAATTACTTCTCTTTGTCTTATAGGTCCTTAAGCCGACTCACCTTATAATGCTATTTTTGTTAAGGCTGTATTATTTCCTCAGTGTTTAATATTTTATACGGTCTTTGAATTATCCCCACATCTTTGGAAACCACAATAAGTTAAAAATTATCTAGATAGAAACAATTTATAGTGTTCCAAGTATATTTTTAAGTTTTTTGCTTACAACATCTATCACTTGTTTTCTTTCTAAGCCTCCTTTTTAGAGAGAGGAGACGGCTAATGGCTTTTACAGCATATGGACGTGGAAATGGGAATTTTAAGTCCGCTGGTGGGGAGAAACAGAACATAGTATCCAGGAGAAACTTTTTATGTGGAAAGAATATAACGACTAGATTCGGGCAAAACAGAGTTTAGCTCTTGAGAAATGCGTTGGGAAGAAAAGATCTGGAATGTGGATTCCAGTTTTCAGACGATTCCATAACAGAAAAGGTGCGGATGTGGGTACTTAGCAGGTTTGGAACTCTGACGTCTCGTCCTTGCTAACTTTTCAGGTCCCGATTATTTTATTCCTTGAAATCGAGGGGTGTTTGGCGCAAATTCTCCTTTCTGTCCTGTCTCGTGCCTCCTCCAGGTCGTGTCTTGTCACGTGGTGGGCGAGGCCATTCAGTTCCTGGTCCGTGCGGGGTCCCCCTCCCCCGAAGACACGGGGCACCAGCTGTACTGTGCACGGCTCTCCCCGTTTCATCTGCAGGTGAGTCCGGGGAGATCGAGCAGGTCCCGGGGAGACCGTAGACCTCGTAAACCCATAGGGTAAGGCTGGTGTGATTGCGGGGCCTCATTTATCTCGTAGGTTTTGGACTGTAAGCTTCTATCTTGAATGGGTAGAAATAAAGCGTGGGTTATGGATGCGCACGGACCGTACACATGCATGCACATACGGGTACGCATACCCCACATACGTGTTACACACAGGTGTGTGTGGGTGGAGGTCATGAATTCCGTCTACCACTGTTGGGAGAGAGGCTGCATTTCGAGGTGTTTAACCAGAGCAGGGGTGTTGCCGACAGGCGGAGTGAAGGTGAGAGACATCCGAGATGAGGGCAGTGGTTCTGTCCCGGGACCCGGCGCCAGACCCCAGCCGTCCTTGGCAGCTGGGGCACCAGCCTAGGGGCTGGCGTGGGAGTTCCTCCCTTTTTTAGTTTTTGGAAAAGGCCAGCTTTAAAAGACCTCTTACTTGTCGGTATAAGTTTGAAAGATGAGTAGGGCCCTCATTTTTCTCATCACCCACGGATTATCCTCATTGCGGCTCGGTACGGGCACGGCTCATTTCACTCGACTTCGCAGATGCTGCACGTTCCACCCCGGAAGGCTTGTGGGAGCCAGCGTGGGGGACGCCTGTCGGTGTGTTCTCCGGCAGCCTTCGCTTGCTGTGTGTCTCTGTCGCGTGTGGGTGATTCTGTCGTATGTCATACTTTTCCCTTATAACGTTTGTCCCGGTGATCTGTGGTCAAACGCTCACACGGTGGTCATCATTTTTCAGCAATAATGTATTTTTTTTTAGATGTGATGCTTTTGCACACTTAATAAGACTACAGGATAGTGTAAATATAGCTTTAAAAAACATGTATTTATTTTAGAGAGAGTGCGTGCGAGAGCGTGAGAGCGGGGGCAGGAGCAGAAGGAGGGGGAGAGGCAGACTCCCCGCTGAGCGTGGAGCCTGACGCGGGGCTCGGTCCTGCGACCCTGAGACCACGACCTGAGCCGATATCAGGAGTCGGACGCTCAGTGCACTGAGCCGCGCTGGCGCCCTGAACATGACCTTTCTGCGCACTGGGAAGCCAGGACGCTCCCTTGGGTGGCTTTGTGGCGCTACTTCCTTCATCGTGGTTTTCTGGAAGCCGATTCGCTGCCTCTCCGAGGGGCGCTCGTCTGTGTGCTATGTCATATTAGTGACGATCTCCGTAGTCATTACACAGAGACACGTCTAATCATCGTAATAGGCTACGAGGGGAATTCCTGGTCGCTGAACCACCCAGCAGCTGTGTCCCTCCCATGAAGCAGGGTCCACGAAGTTCTGTTCAGCTGTGAATTTCTGGGTCTGTTTTAGGGGTCACTGCGGCTTCGGCCCTGTGTCTCCCCTTCCTCTGTGCCCGAGCTTGGCTGCTCGTTTGGGGGATGAGCCAAGTCGCACGGCCCCCTCAACCACAGGGGAAGAGGACGTCCCGTGTGCTTTTCTTACACAGGCGTGGTTACGAAGAGCTGGGGCCAGCAAGGTTTTCTGGCCACCTATGTGGCTTTTCTCCGCGAGCCAGCCCTGCCGAACCCCCTCAGTGACCCTCCCCTCCTGAGACTCGAGGAGGGCGTCACTCCGCGCACCTGTGAGATGCGCGTACCCTCCCGCCCCCCCCCCCCCGAACATTCTGGACGGCGTAATTGCAAAATAATTGCAGAGTCCAGGACACGTGTCGCCAACACGTGATGGCTGTTTCAGGACAGAGTGAGTCCGGCGAGACCCGTAAGCCTCCACGGAGGACACGGAGTTTCCCAGATGCTGTTTTTGTGCTGTTTCATGCAGCTCAGAGACAAGTAATGTGATCGCATCTTTGATCTCTTAACACAGCTGAAAACCACTCTGCGGATTCCCTCTCACAGGTAGGCAGCTGCTGGAGGGGAGCCGTTATCCAAGCCCCAGGCAGGAGACACTCCTGTCGCTCTGTTGTCCTTCAGATAAAAGGTGCAGAAGGGCCCCCGCCCTGCCCGGCGTTTGTCTGGCTTGTCTCGCTGCCCCAGGACCTGCCTGGGCTGGTGTACCTTCCTGGGAATCAGCCAGGATTCTAGGGCCAAGAAAGGCCTCCCTGGTCTCACCAGGTGCTAGCCTGAGCTGACGGCCCGAGGAGGGGCTAGTACCATGGAAAGCCGCTCTCTCCTCCTTTGCTGAGGGTGGGGAGGAGGACCGAGGGGAAGAGCTGGGGTCCGTGCTGAGGAAAGAGTCTCGGGTTGAAGAGCGAAGGGAGGGGTATTCGTTTGCTGCGGCTGCTGAAACAGAGCGTGCAAACTGAGCTTAAAACCTAGATGTGGGGACGCCCGGGGGACGCAGTCGGTTGAGTGTCTGACTCTCGGTTCTGGCTCAGCTCATGATCTCAGGCTCATGAGGTCGAGCCCTATGTTGGGCTCCACGCTCAGCACGGACTCTGCTTGGGATTCTCTCTCTCTCTCTGCCCCCACCTCCCGGGCATGCTCTCTCACTCTCTTTTCTAAAAAAAAAAAAAAAAAAAAAAGAATAAATCTTTTTTTAAAGAAAACCCAGCATAAATGGAGCCACTCTGGAGGCCCAATGCCCAGCACAGGCTCACATCGGCGGGCTGCCTTGCTGTCTGGAAGCTCTGGGAGGATCTGCTTCCTTCAGCGTGATTCCGTTCCTTGGGACTGCAGGACTGAGGGCCTGTGTTCTTGCCGGCCGGCCGCCGGGGGCTGTTGGCGGCTTCTAGCCGCCACCTCATTCCGGAGCTCCTGGCATCCTCCCTCCGTCTTCGCGCCCCTCTCGCTGGCCTGCTGTCCTGTCTTCCTCTTCTCTCAGGGCTCGCTGGGATGACCCAGCGTTATCTCCTCGTTCACTGGTCCTTTCTGCAAAGTCCCCTTTGCTGTACCTGGTCCTGTTATCCCCAGTTCCGAGAATCTGGGTGTGGTGGGGGGCGTGACGCTGCCTCCCTGCGTGGGTCCCATCCAACGGGTTGTTGCAAGAGCTGAGAGTCCACTTGGAGGCCGTGCGTCGGCCCAGGCAAGAGAGGACGAGGACACCCGTGCTCGGCACAACCCTCGGGGCCTGTGGGAGCGAGGGGTTGGGCTATGCATCTCCCTTCCCACCTGATCCTCCCTCTCCTTCCTGCCTTGGTGTCAGCCCCGGGAGAGAATGCAAAGCGCAGAGAATTACTCATGTAATCACAGAATCACGTAACGCAGAATTTTCATGACATCTGGCCTTCAGCGGCCAACACTGAGAACCCTCCAAGTGGTAGGTTGAGGCCGCAGAAGGTTTTGGCGGGGCGGGGGTGGGGTGAAGGGGAGTCCCAGGGAATTTAGAGCTTTCCTTACCGTTGTGAAAGGCAAGGGGAGGCCAAGCAGACTTCTCGGAAAATAAACGAGCACATACGCGTGCATACACGTGCGCAGACACGCACGGACGCATGAGGTTTCGCTGGCCGCGTAGCTCTCCAGTAACCCTGTGTTTTGGCAGCTGGAGCTCCACATGAAAGAGAAGAGGGAGGACATCCAGATCCAGTGGTCCTACGTCAGCACTCCGGAGACGGCCGTTACGGTGCAGCCCAGAGCAGTGGTGGAGGTCAGTCTGGGCGTTTGTATGACACCCTCTGTTGGTGTACGTGAGAACGCATGTGCATGGTGACCCCCTGATCTGGGGAACAGAGGCTCAGCCCGGCACCCCTCCGATGTTGGCGGGCTTCTCCCCTCCTCCTGGATTGTGGGGCTGCACTGACGGGGGTCGGGGGGGAGACAGCTTTGCTGGATCTAACACCGGCCCTCAACCCTGCACACCTGCCATTGCCTGAGGACTTTAGAAGATTCTGGGCCTGCCCCCTGCCCGCCCCCCGAAACCCCAGAATTATTTCTAGCACTGCTATGCAGCGCAGGCTGAGAACCAGTGACGTCTGTCGCCACAGCGTTCCTCAGACTGTCGTGCCTGACATCAGACCCTTTCTACTTCCCCGAGGCACTCCCGGAACAGCTCAGGTGGTGGCTGTGGGGTGGCTCCTGGGGGCAGGCGTGTCTCTCCCCCCACCTAAAATTCAGTGCATGTAGAATCGGAAGGCGATCTCTCTGCTTCCCACGGTCTTAGGTGTTGGAAGAAATGAATTTGGAAGCAGGGAGTGGGCATACGAGGTCACCCCGGGGTCACTTTCAGGGGCTGGAAAGATCATGCGAGATCACGTACGCCAGAGGCCCCTGTGACTGCTGGTTCCCTTGTAGGGTGGGGTTGTGACGACGGTTGTCCGCCGTCTTGGCTCTGTTTCAGACTCTCGTTCAACCACAGAGAGATCCCCAACCGCTAAGTATGGGACTGTAAGCCTCTGTCCGTCCATACTGTCACCTTCCGTGCCGTGACATGAAGGCACGCAGTTTGTTCTTGGACTGGAACTCCCCTAACCGGCACACATCACAACTGTTGCTTTGCCCGGCCACTGGGTCCCACCGGGGGCTCGGACTGTCCTGTCCTGTCTTCCCTTCCCTTCCCTCCCATGTCTGCATCTCACAGTCCCCACGGCACCGTGGTCAGGCCGGCCAAGTGCATGGAACGTTCCGTCGCCGACTTCCCAGCACCGCGGCCAACGTGCACCTGCCTTTGGGTCAGGCCGTGCCCCGCCAAGGCAGGGGGACCCCCGTGTGGAGGACTCCTTGAGTTCATTCTTCCTCCGTGTGCTTGGGGGACCCCAGAGCGCCCCGGTGCCTGCCCGCACTCATGCTCAGGTTTTGTCCCCCGTCTTTGTAAATTTACCTGTATATTGTTTGAAAATGTAAACTATTCACACGGTTCAGACGTCAGAATTGCGGGAAACCTTCGACTCAGACGTGCAGTCTCTACCCTGTCCCTCCCGCCCCATCCGCCCCTGCACACGGTAACTTGGTAACTTGGTCATTCATTAGTTCGTGTTTCTCTGTTCCCGGGTTTTTTGCAAAGACGAGCTTATCCCCCCCACCCCCCATTCTCACCCAAACCGTGGCGTGTTGTGCTGCTGTTTGCAGCTTGCCGCCCAGCGTCCCGTGGGCTTCTCCAACTGTCACACGCTCCTCCCATGAATGGGAAGTGAGGCTCTAAGTGTGGCACTAAGCCAGCCACCCCCTTCCCCGGGAGCTGGTCTGGCCAGTAGGCACAGGACCTGAGCCTCCGGCCCCCTGAGGATGTGACGGTGTGGGGGGGGCAGGGGTGTGGCCCAAGCCAGCTGCTCATTGGGGGAAGAGCTGGGACATCAGAGCACTCACCGCTCATCGCTCATCGTCACCCTGGGTTTCCTCCTCCGTGAAGGGACAGGAAATCCTGGGGCTTAAAAAAAGAGTTGAGTGTGTAAATAAAACGAGGTATTTTTCAGCCATTTAAAAAGAATGAGGCTCTGACACTTTCTGCAACACAAAGGAACCCCAGGAAGGTCCCTTGAAGGGAGAGAAGCCCAACATGGCCTGTTTGTGTTGGGAGCTCAAGGCTTGGAGATCTCCCTGGTGGGTAGATCATACAGGGGCAGGCAGAGACTGTTGGTGGGGAGGGGCGGGGCGGGGAGGGGCAGTCAGGGAAAGGGGAGGGGGAGAGGGGCAGGGAGTGATTGTTGGTGGGTGAGAGATAGCATAAGGGTGACATCTCGATGGTGGCAGCATAATACGGAGCCTGATGAATCACACCGAAATGCATATTTTATTTTATTTCATTTTTTAAATATACTTTTTTAAAGATTTTATTTATTTGACAGAGGGAGAGAGATCACAAGTGGGCAGAGAGGCAGGCAGGGGAAGGGGGGAAACAGGCTCCCCGCTGAGCAGAGAGCCCGATGCAGGGCTTGATCCCAGGACCCTGGGACCATGACCTGAGCTGAAGGCAGAGGCTTTAACCCACTGAGCCACCCAGGCGCCCTTTTAAGATGGTTTTTATGTGAATTTAGTTGAATGTCACCTCAGTTAAAAAAAAAAGGACAGGGATGTCAAGTACTTACTGAAGAGAAAGATGACAACGTGGTGGTCTTCAGTGCAGACCCTGGATCCCTAATGCTTGGGTTTGACTCTCGGCTCTGCCACTCGTGAGCTGTGTGACCCTCCACGAGTTAATTTATGTCTCTGTGCGCTAGTTTCTTCATCGGTAAAATGGGGATAACGATAGTAGAGGTGGTTTAGAAGATTAAATTAGTTAATACGTGTAAGTGCGTAGACTTGAGCCTGACATATCCTAGGAGTGATGGAGGGATTAGCTGTTTTGATCGTTATTAGAGTTTCTGGCAAAGAGTAGCTGCTCTCTGGGCTGAGTGGGATTAGGTTCGCTGTAACAGGGTCTGGCCAGCCAGCCCTCCGCAGGCCAACCTCCAAGATCCCTCCAGCCGTGCAAGGTAGGAGGTTTTCTGTAGGTCTGTGGTCCCGGTGGGAGTCCCTGCGAGCAGCTGTCCTGTCCCCTGAGCAGGCTGGGGATGTGGGAGCCTCCCATGAGGGCATCTACACTGGACTGTGGACCGTCCCCCCCCGCCGCCCCCGTGACCACACCACAGTCGATGTATTTGTTTAGTTCTCAAAGGATACTTAGGTGGTTTCCAGTGTGGGGCTTCATGAATGGTGGTGCTGGGAACGTTCTGGAACCCAGGAATGTTCGCCTTTCTGTCAGGGATTAATTATCAGATTTACGGAGTTGACACCCGGTGATATAAACTGCCCAGCTTTGTGCCTCCACAAGCTTATCTTTCTTGTTGGGCCCTTTCATTTACTTGAATACTTTTTAATTTCAAAAAAAAAAATTACCCGATGTCATGTGAGAAAGAAGAAACATCTGTCTGTAAGGTTCGACATAGAAGCAGCGACACGGTTGTATATTTCACGAGCTCGATTGTTGTCATTTTGAAAATAAGGAGCAGGAGTTACTTCTTTTTTTTTTTTTAAAGATTTTATTTATACTCTGGTTTCTCTTCAGATTGCATAAAGATTTTATTTATTTATTTGACAGAGAGCACAAGTAGGCAGAGAGGCAGGCAGAGAGAGAGGAGGAAGCAGGCTCCCTGCTGAGCAGAGAGCCCGATGCGGGGCTCGATCCCAGGACCCTGCGATCATGACCTGAGCTGAAGGCAGAGGCTTTAACCCTCTGAGCCACCCAGGTGCCCCTACTTCTGAGGTCAGTAAGGAGGACCCCGTCTCCCAGAGGACAACGAGCAGGTCACCTGCAGGGATCTGACCTCCCAGAGCCCCACACTCACCTCCCCCACCCCGCGTGCTTGGTCCCTGAGATGCAGCGAGGACAGCCAGCGTCTGCCCCCCTGTTGCACGGCGCACGGTCAGGAGGCAATCTGAGGACGTCCCCCTCTTTTGGCAGGATCGGGGGACAGAGACCAAGGCCGTGTCTGAAACTCTCAAGGACATCTTGAAGCACCTGGTTGGGGCTGCATCTCCGTCGGTGGTTCTGAGCACCAAGCCTGTGGACGCAAGGGACGTTCAGGTGAGCTGCGGAGGGTGGTGCCTCACGGCCTGTTAGGGCTCCTGGTCCCCCTCCTGCAGGGGAGTCTGCATGACCAAGCCCCCCGCCCCCCACTGCCGTGGTAGAGAGGGAATGCCTGACTGTTTGCTGGGTGACCACGGCCTGTGGATCGTGATGCGCTGCAAGTTCAGGGCAGGGGTTCCAGAACCCCGTGGGATAGGAGGAACAGGTGTCTGGGCTGCTCTGCACGCTCCAACCTTAATTAGCCCTGACCCCATGCCTTTCTGGAGCTGAAACTTGACTTTCCACTGTCCACTCGGGGCCTATGGCCTTAGAGCTCGACTTCCCAGGACCGAGGCATCTGGGAAACCTAGTTAGCTATGAGAACAGAGGAGAGCTGCTGTTCCGGCCTGCAGGCTAGCAGGCATGAGAGCCATGGAGAGCTGGTGTCTCCACTCGAGTCTAAAGGCAGGGAAAAAACCAACACCGCAGCGTGAAGCCGGTCAGGCTTGAAGAACCCCCTTTTCAGGAGAGGTCAGCCTCTTTTCTAGCAGACCTTCAACTGATTGGGTGAGGCCCACCCACATTAGGGAGGGCTGTTGCTTTCACTGGGTCTTTTGATGTAAATGTTAACTTCATGTGAAAACAGCCTCACGGAAACACCCAGGACAGCATTTGAACAGATAGTGTGCATCCCCGTGGCCCTGTCATGTTGACACACAATTAACCACCACACGTAGACGGCCAAAATATTTCCTCTCCACCCCCGACGTGTGAATGCTCTGGCCCCACTGCTCATGGGCTTGGAGCCTAAGGACTCCTGCGGCGACTTCTTGCAGCTCACAGTTGGCAAGGTCCTGGTTCACAGTAGTGGTTTCTAAATGGTGACCTTGAGATGCTGGGAAGCTCGCCCCCCAGAGAAACGTCCGAGTCAGATCAGTGCCCGGGAGCCCTTCCTGGAAGGCTCAGATCAGTGCCTGGGAGCCCTTCCTGGAAGGCTCTGTGTGCGTCTCTGAGAAGCTTTTCTAGGAGTCCCAGGCCTTGGTACTTAAGAGACCCCCACACCCTGCTTTTTTAAAGATTTATTTTTATTTTTATTTATTTGAGAGAGAGAGAAGGAGGGGGGGAAAGGAGAGAATCTGAAGCAGACCCGCCCTGAGCACACAGCCCGACGGGGGCTCGATGCCGCAAGTGCAAGGTCAGGACCTAAGCCAAAACCGAGAGTCACACACTTGACTGACCGGGCCCCCCGGGTGCCCTGGGACCCCTCGTAACGAGCACTCGCAGCCGCGAGGGAAGGCAGGAAGCCAGTTTGGGAAACAGTTTAAGGTGAGGCCCTCTGGGTTATAGGAGCCTTTTCTCTGTTGGAAATGCCTTGATGCCCATCTGAGAACACGATTATGGACGCCTCTGTCACTGCTGTAGTCCGTCCCCAGGACGACACTTAGACACCCCCACCTGGGGTGCGGACCTGCCGGGTGGCCCTCGCTGTGTGTGTGTGTGTGTGTGTGTGTGTGCGCGCGCGTGTGTGTGTGTGAGAGGCTGGCGTCCCGCTCGGAGCCGGTGGGCAGTGGGCACCTGCAGCCTGGAGCGGGCGTCCCCCTCTCTCGCCAGCACCTGGCCTGGGGCAGTGGACCAAGGTGAGCTCTGCTTCCGGGCTGCACTCACAGCCGGGTTCCGGGGAGCCCTCTCTGGCTGCGCGCCCCGCCGCTTCCCGCGGGTTACTTGGGTAGAAAAGGCTCCAAGGCAGGGGCAGAGGCTATGGTGGCTTGGGACCCTCCCTTCCCCTGAGAATGGAAAACTGTTGTGCAGCCCACCGCAGGGTCAGCCCCACCCCCGGCGGGTTTTCCCCGAAGACGCTGCCCCGTGACAGGGGTCCGGTGGCGCCTCCTCTTCTCCCCGGTCACCCGTCTTGATTTTCTCTCTGCAGAATCTACAGCGCATTTCGTCCTCTCCTCAGGAGTCCTGCCCGCCCAAGCCTCCAAGGGCTCACGAGCTCAGATTACTGGTGAAGAACATCCGGGCTTCGCTGCTAAGTGCTCCTGGGGCTTCAGGCAGGTGGCCGGGCTGGAGGAAGCTCCGGGGGGCACGGGGGGCGGGGGCTGCCCGCCGCAGAAGTGACTGTCCCTCCATACAGCAGCGTGAGGGGTGACGGCGGGTTCTCAGCGGACTCTGGGTCCCCATGGCGCCCTCCGACTGGGTCTGCTGTGTGATCCCAGCCCGCGAGCCCAGAGCCTCAGAACCAGACGAGTACCGTGAGATGGTCACACGCCAGTCCCGAGCTTGCGTGCAGGAAGAGCGAGGGAAGAAAGGAGTTCAGTCATGACCTTGCCCTTTTCTTTCATCTGGAAGGCACTCCCTTGCCTTTTTTAAACTATTGAACGCGTAAACCCACACTGGGCACCCCTGACTGATACGCGATGAGCACCTTCTCCTTTCCCAGAAGCCCGGGTTCCTGGTGGGCACTTTACTAAGCGTCAGGAGGGCTTCGGGCCCATTGGGGACCCTCCGGCGGTAGGAGAGGCTGTTATCTGAGTCAGGACAAGTTGCAGACCCCAGATCGTTCTCTTTGGGCGATCCTGAGTGGCTGGCGAGACCCCAGGTGCACAGCCTCCTGGGATGGGTCCCATCTTCCCACTGTGATTTGATTTTGCTGAGAACAGGAAGGAATTCTTTATTGTCTGAGAATGCTAAGGGTTACTTAATGTGCACGGAGTCTTCCCGTCCCCAAAGCACAGACTGTCCACGTTTAACAACCGAGACTCCGTGCAGGGCTAGCTGTGGGGGATGGCCTCAGGGGTCCCTGTTCCTCGCAGGCAGGTCTGCATCTGGGTCTCTGTGTCTCCCGTCGGAGATGATCTCGAAGATCAGTTAAGACCGTGGGAGTGGAATGCTTAACGCTGTGTGACGTCTGGTCCCGTGGTCACTGGTTACACAGGATATTGACAGCTCTTTGCCATGGGACAGGCATGGTCTTGCAGCAGAAAGAATTGTTGACTAGGGAAATGTCCCATTACCCAGACCCAAGATCTCCAGACGGGGCTCTGACTGAGCTGAGTCAGGGATAAAATCACATCCCTCGTCAGTAGGGATACGGATTCTCTGTGGGGTATCCCCCAATTTAGGGATCATCCCAGAGGCCTTTCCTTGCACAAGCTGGTCGTCTTGTCCAGAAGTGGGGGGCCACTTCTGCTGTCATAATGTCCCTGGGGAGTGTCCCCCATCACGGGCGAGGAGCAGGGGCTCCTGGGGTCTGCCCTCCAGGCCAAGAGATACCAAGTTGGGGATCGAAAATCTTAAACCCCTAGAGAAGGGCTTTGAGAGTTGGTTCATGATGGAAGAAAGAGCAGTCCCGGAGAGGTGGGCGAGCCAAGACGTCAGGCGTTTAATATGGCCCGTTATATGCAAAGTGTGCACACATCTTGCAAGTTAAAAAATAGAAACACCCCTTTGTTTGATTGCAGGCAACGTTAACCCACAGTGTGTAGTTCGGCTGAACGAGCCCGTTCAGAAGTTCAGCGCCCTCGCGACAAACCCCGCCGACCTCAGCTGGGAAGAAGAATTCATCTTGTGCGTACAGCCTGGTTAACGGGCTTGCGCCGGCCGAGCGCCCCACTCACAGCTGCCAGGTCCCAAGATCAGTGTGTAACACTGCTCAAACCCTAAACACAGACATGCAGTTGCTCTTGAAAAGGTGTATTAAACATCCGAGGTAGCTTTAGGTTGAATCTGGGTTCCTTTCTGAAGGCAGCTCCGGGGCTGGGTTTCCTCCTGGCCAGTGTCCTGCCATGGCCAGAGAGCACGCTGGTCAGGCTCCCTTGACTTTGGAGATACCCACCTCCTGGAGCGCAACGGAGGACCCTTGGGTTTGATACCGGAACCTGGCTGGGAACAAAGGGAAAAGGACGGCCCATTTATAAGAAATGGCGTGGGAATTCTAAGGAATGTATTAAGGAGCTGGGCTCAGCCCAGAGATGTCCAGACGGCAGAGCAAGTAACTGAATCCATTGCGATGTTAGATCAAAGGAGAAAACGTACTTATCTCCGTACATGCTGAGATGACCGTTGACTTTCCCTGCGCATTTCTGATTTTTTTTTAAAGATTTTATTTTTATTTATTTGAAACAGAGAGAGAGATCACAAGTAGGCAGAGAGGCAGGCATAGAGAAAGAGAGGAGGAAGCAGGCTCCCCGCTGAGCAGAGAGCCCGATGCGGGCCTCGATCCCAGGACCCTGAGATCGTGACCTGAGCCGAAGGCAGAGGCTGAACCCACTGAGCCACCCAGGCGCCCGCATTTCTGATTTAAAACCTTAACTAGTACATGATTTATGGCCTCTTCTTTAATAAGCTAATAGAAATCACTGTAAATGACAAAGACCAGAAGGGGTCCCAAGTGAAAGCCAAGAGGAAGATGCCTGCTGTTTTGTTCTGGAAGCACGAGTAGCGCACTTAGAGGCGGAAGGGGGAAGTGTCTGGGTATGAAAAGGCTGAGGCAAAACCGATTATTACTTGGAGGTGATAGGATTGCCTGCTCAGACAACCCAAGAAAATCAGTTAAAACTATCAGAAATAATAATAGGAAACTCATGTAAATAATATTTCAGTAAAGCAGCCGACTCTAAGACTAGAAATCACTTGCTTTCTGAGGCTTGAACGATGAACAGCCGGAAACAGGACAGGCAGCAGGTGTCCCGTGTGTAATGTAAAGAGCTTTTATGAATTAGTAATGAAAATACGAGCGCTGCCCCGGAAAACCGGGAAGAATGTCTGAGCTAGAAAACAGAAAAGCCAAAACTGTAGGTAGCCCGAGACTTCTGAAGACTTGTTCAAATCAGCAATAGTTTAAGAAACACAGAGGTAAACACAAGGGACCGTTTTCTCACCCTACAAGTTGGTAAGGAATAGGTGGGTGACAATGGCCAGTAGAAGTATACATTGGAATGACCGTTCTGAAAGTCCTCAGTATGTCTCAAAAAAAAAAAAAAAAGAAAGAAAGAAAGAAAAGAAAAGAAAAAAGAAAAATCTCTTAAATGCACGTACCTTTTGTCTGGCGTTTACAGTCTTCCTAAGGAAATAATCACATGGTGCACACAAAGCTAGGTCGAAGGGTGTTTATCTCAGCTAGTTTGTCGGTAATTATATAGCTACGCTTTTGCATATAGGAACTACGAGCCACATGTGGCTTTTTACGTTTGAATTAATTAAAATGCAGCAAAATTCATCCACGGCAAGCGGCCGCCGTGTGGCACAGCGCGTAGATACCCCCGCCGTCAGCCAGAGGCAGCAGAGAATTCTCAGATAACAGCAACCGCTGGGGGGTGGCGAGGTGGAAGATAATCTTCATACCGTTGGAGATGTGTGTTTCTTTCTAGAGTCAGAAAAAAAATACTGTTTCAAGAACTGATAAAGGATTGACAGCACTTTTTGTCCTTTCCGCAGGGAGTTGAGCGCCAAGTCGAAGGAGTTGCACTTGCAGGTGTCGGTGGGTGAGCAAGCCTCGGCCTCGGAAGGTGGGTGTCGGGCGGGTAGAGGGAGGCCCTGCTCTCTGGGAGGGGCGGACCCCCTGACACCTCGGGTCTTCCGAGGCCGTGTTTGCTTCCAGGTCCACTTCAGTCATTAGCAAGGGCATACGTTCTGGGAGAATGTACTCAACTCGTTTTTGCCTTTTTTGGTTTTTAAACAAATACCTAAACTCTTTTATTCAGCAATTCTTGGCTTAGAGAAGCCCCTCTCAGCCTTCTTAGCCTTAATAGATCTGTTCTGTAGTGTTCCTAATTGTGGTAAAAGCATGTAACACAGAAATTCCCATATTGACCATTTTTGAGTGTAAAATTCACGGGCGTTAAGTATATTCCCACTGGCATGCGACCTTCAGCACCGTCCACTTCCCGGATTTTTTCCTCTTGCTGGGCTGAGACCCTGTCTTCCCCATTCCCTCCTCCCCCAGCCCCTTCGACCCCTCCCCACCGGCATTGTGCTTTCTGTCTCAATGGATTCTGGCTGGCTTTTCCTTATAAAATAAGCCACAGCAGCTTACACTGGACACATGCTTTAGAGACAAGAAAGCAGCTGTTAAAGGTAAAATCATGAACGGGAACACGGACCTATATGTTTGCATGTGTGTAACTCAGGAGTTTGGGAATATATTAGGCTTTTAAAAATGCCCATAAACATACCAAAATTAGGAGAGGGGGACCCTTCCGTGGCTTATCCTGCTAAAAGACCAAGCCATTGGGTTGTCTCCCAAAGTTACAAAGACACAGGAAAAGGCATTTCAAATTTCTGTTTATTAGCAAGAATTTTCTTTTTTAAGATTTTAAGTTTTCAAAGATTTATTTTAGAGGAAGAGGAAGGGACAGAGGGAGAGGGAGGGAGAACTCTCCAGCAGAACCCTGCAGAGTGCAGAGGCTGACCCCAGGACCCCGAGACCATGACCTGAGCCGAAATCAAGAGTCGGCCGTTTAACGGACGGAGCAACCCGGGCGCCTCCCCTCACCCCCCATTAGTAAGAATTCTGAGCTAATTTCCTTGGTTCTGTTGTCTTGGGATAAGATCCCAGAGGTGCCTCTGACATTCCAGGAGAGGGCGTGGCCAGAACAGGGCGTGTGGTTTGACCCGGGGTGGACGGGGTGGGTGGGTGGACGTTTGCCCGGAGAAGCTGACCCATCCGTTTCCCAGGCACCGAGGCTTTTGGCTCCTTTGGAGATCCGCTGCTATACAGCCGGATGGGATCTCTGAAATTTCACATTAAAAACAAAAACCAAAAACAGAACAAAGGACTACCGCAGAACCTTTACCAGACTCCCGGAGTTCGGACATTTTGCCCCGTTTGCTTTATTATCGGCACTCACACTTGGTGGTTGCTTTTGATTATGCCTGCAGACGCCCGGACACAGGACACACATGCTGGAGGGTGAATCTGAATGTTCGAGGGTATCAGGCCCTGCACCCTCCTTTCTTCGGGGCATTTCCTAAGAATAAGGACATTCTCTCATGCGTCTGCACTGGTTTCCCCGACCCGCTGCCTGCGTTCCCCTTCATCGGCCGGGCCAGCATCCCGTAGAGCAGTTACCCCCACTGCCCCGGATCAGACACTGCCTTCTGTCTGCTATCTCTTAGCCTCCTGGGGTCTGGAGCATGTCCAACGCCTCTCTTTGTCTCTGGTGTTGTAGAATGTTCTGAAATGTTCTGGAACTGGAGGATGCTGGTGCGGACCGGGTGCGCACCGGGACTCTGTTCTGGTTGCGGTGGTGGCTCCCGCTGACCCCTGCTCCCGTGGAACCCTGTGGAAACATACCCTTACTTGTCTCCTATCTTTTTAGCCATATCGGCGATGACAACCATTCCTTTGGATTTATTCAAGAAGCAGCCATCTGGGCCCCAGAGCTTCACGCTGACCGGCGGCTCCTGCGGCGGCTCGGTGCTGGGTTCGGTCACCGCAGAGGTACGACGTCATTCCCCGCCGCGGCCGAGCTCCAGCTTGACCTGCTTGAGATTAGGAGTATCTTTACCTGTTGGTCCGTCTTAACGTTTTCTTCAGCGGGAAATGGGACGCTCGCTCACCTAAGAGGAGCTCCTCTTCCGCCCTGTGCATTTCTAGACTCGAATGGGACACTCTGTGCCCACAATCGTGTTGAATGGTCGCTGCATGGGGAGTTTTCCATGGTGCCGGGTCACGCGGGCCTAACCCCAGAAAGGGCCCTTCGATTTCGCTGGGTTCTCCAGCCTTGGTGCCCGTCACCAGGCACTGCGTGACGGGGTCTTGTCACCCTCTGTCGGTTCTGAGGAAACCCAGACTGATGGCTGGATGGCTGTGGTACTAAGCGGGGCTGACCCACAAAGCCAGGGGTTACGGCACGGGAGGGCGGCGTGCATGCCCAGGGGTCGGCGTGGGCACAGCACCAAATGCGTAACCGGCTTTCTCTGCAGTTTTCTTACCTAGAACCTGGTGAAGTGAAACCCAAGACCCCGCCACCTACTCCTGCCACAAAGGTCGAAAAAGACCGCACGGTGATGCCCTGTGGGACCGTGGTCACCACCGTCACCGCCGTGAAAACCAAGCCTCGCTTTGACACGGGGAGAGCGTCCCCCCTGAGCTGCGGTGAGTGCGGCCCGGGAGCACCTCAAGGTGGCGGGAAGCGCCGGCTGCCGGGGCAGGTGTGGCTCCGACGGTCTCGTGTGCAGGGAGGAGGGTAACTGACGAGACTCCCAGCTTCCCGCTTCTCACCGGTCACCTTTCCCGGTCACCGTTCTCTGTTGTCAAACGCGCGGCTGCCCAGGCAAGTTCAGCTCGAGCGCACGCTGGAGCTCCGAACCTGGCCGTGCGGGGAAGTGATCTAGTTCGGTGAACTTCCCGCTCACACTCCCGCGGGGACGGCCGGCCCGCTGTCTTGAAACCTTAGATGGAGGCCATCGGTGCAAGTTCGTAGGAGGAGAATCCGTTTTCTAGAAGGGCCCGGGGTGCAGTCACTTTCGACCCAGCCGAGTTCTGCACCTCCCTAGTCTCTACCTCAGAGACAACCTCTGTGTACGGGCTTACTGTTTTATTTTCATTTATACTGTGTTTCTGCTTCTAGATAGATAACGTATCATCTTCCCAGAGTTGGTTTTCTGGGCCTGCTGTTCTTGACTACGAAACAGAGAGTGAAATTCTGGCTTTTGATGAAAGTTTCTGAAATTTTATTTAAACCCAGGTTCCCAGCATCCTTTTGGGTACTTGCCCCCTCATACACCTCTGCACCCCACCCCAGAATGAGAGACGGTTAAAAACATCTGAACGGCTGGGGTTCCGTGAAAGTGTGATTTCACCTTCCGCGAACTGTAGGGTCAGGTGGCTTTTGGGGCCATTGTGATCCGGATTTTCTCCTGACAGAGTCTCCCCTGAAGACGCCTGTCAAGGTGAAGGTCATTGAGAAGGACATCTCTGTTCAAGCCATCTCCTGCCATGGGGCTCCTGTCAGTAAGACCTTCTCTTCTTCGGACACAGGTAACGGACCGCGGGCTCACTGCATCCTTCTCCCTCCTTCCAGGCTCTTCTCCTGTCTTTCTCATGTGCCCCCAGGTCAGCATTTCCTTTTTGGAGTTTGGGAGGCGCTGTTTTGAGCATTAAGAGCAGAACAGGGAGGAGGTGGGGGGAACGAAGCCAGGCAGAGACCAGGGGTGGTGTTAAGTTCTAGCAGATGCTTTCACAAAATAAACATAAAATCCCAGTTTATGCCTCATGTTATAAAATTTGAGCATGATTTTCCCCTCACTCAGTATACCAGTGCTATGACTAACACCCAAGAGGCAGGACCCAGGGGTGTAACTGCAAAGGCGGCTTTTCCTCTCCCGTTGCCCCAGAGAAGCTGCTCGTTAGGCTTGGTCTCCCCCAGAACTCTGCTCGCAAATGCCCATTGTTACGGTCACGCTCAGTGTCTCTGGGGAGAGGGGTTCCTGCCTCCTTAGGTCAGAGCCCGATCTAAACTTGGGGATTACGTTTGCCCCCTTTGCTCTGGGGTGACTTGCTGTCGGAGGGAGGGCAGGGGGGGCTCCTTCTCTCTGGCTCACCTCTCCCCATCCTCTCAGTCCTGTTTCTGGTCTCACAAAGGGTTAGGAGGAGAGGACGGGGGGCAGGGAGCTCTCATCTGATGGGCGCGCCATCTTAGGACGGCTTCGGATCCCCGCAGCTGGTGAAGCTGACACCGCCCGTCCCATGGGGTGGTCACGGTTCTCTGGGAACCGCAGGCTCCCCCCAGCTGCAGTCCCTAGACGCAGGCCTTGTCCCTCCGCTGGCTGGCCACCCCCAATGCCCCTTCTGCCCCTGGCAGAGCGTCCCGCTGCCTCAGACCACAGGGACCCCTTCCCCCATGCAGGATCGCCTTTTAAAAGGGCTGACGTTCCCACCGTGGGTTTCTCTCCCACTCCGTGGGCAGTGGAGTTAGCCCCCAGATCAGCTCCCTGGGCTGCCTGTGGCCACTGAACCCTTCTCACGCACCCCCAGCACCTGGACAGGGCTTTGAAGGACATCTCCGAGCCACCAGGCCTGGCGTGAAGTGTTGGGAACGACAGTGCCGCGCTCCCCTGGGGGGTCCTCACCAGCCCCCTCCTCGTGAGCCTCTCCCTTCGCGCTGCGCGGTGGTCAGGCAGTGTGTGGCCGCGTCGGCCCTGAAATGGAGCACTTCTCCGTCGTGGAAGCTGAGACGGGAGACACCCCGTTAGCGTCCAGCCCTCCGATGGCCTTGTGTTTGCCTCTGCCCGAGCAGGAGCTGCCCCAGGGAAGGGACAGACAGGCACGAGCTGGGCGTCGGGGACCTTGGCCGTGCTGCTCCCCCCAACCCGAGCTGCCTGACATCCCCCCACGTCTCAGGGGCACACGCCTCACAGGGTGAGGGGATGGGGACACGTAACACTGTGCTCTGAGCCTTCCGCAAGCCCCTGCTAGGTGTCCGGCCTCCCATAGGTGTTGGCCAGGTGTAGGGTACGGACCCCGGGAAGGAGCTCACAGCAGCCCGCTGTGCTGAGCCGCGGTCTGGAGGGGAAGGAGTGACTGCGTTGCCTCCCGAAGTTCAGAATCTTCTGAAAGTTCGGAGGTTTTTTGTGGGTGGGTCTTCCTGCTTTCGTTGGTCTCTATCAACTCTAGGGAGGTCTGGCTGGCAGATATCTGAGGGCAGAGATCTGAGTAAGTACACAGCAGCGAGTGCATGGAACCATCCAGAAGGAGCTGTAGGCCGAGGGGGGTCTGTGAGCCAGACCTGGCCCTGTTCGTAAACTCCTTGGAGCCCAGCCTTGTGCGATGGTGTCCACACGGGCTCAGCCTGCACAGGACCGAGGCCACCGTAAGTGCTAACGGCCCGGGCGGGCCCACAGAGCTGTGCCCATTTGTGCTCTGGCCCTTTTCAGAGGAGAACTGGGGGCCCTGCCTGGGGACCGTATCCATCAGCCCTGCAGGTCCGCAGGCTGGAGCGTAGTGTGCTCAGGGCTGCCTTCCCTCCCGCAGAGCTGCTGGTGCTGAACGGCTCGGACCCCGTGGCTGAAGTGGCCATCCGCCAGCTCAGTGAGTCCTCGAAGCTGAAGGTCAAGTCCCCGCGGAAGAAGAGCACCATCATCATATCAGGGATCTCCAAGGTGTGGCTCGTGCACGCGCCTGCGCCCCTCCGTGGCCGAGCTCCCTCCGTGCAGAAGGCGGCCCGAGCTCCCGGTGTCGTCCAGGCAGCTCCCTGCCGAGGGCCAGCGCCGGGGGTCACCCGTGTTTAGGCCGCTGCCCCTGTCGTGGGGAAGCTGGAGGGTTCTGGCCCCCGGGGCTCTGGTTGGTGAGTGGCCGGTGAATCGTGTGAAAAACTATTGAGACAGAGAGACTGGCCTGCCTGAGGCCCCATCTGGGGACAGAGCTGTGACCCTCTCGCAGGCCGACCTGTCCCTAAAACACTGAAGGTGTTGGCCATGAGTGTGCTTTTGCAGTCAGAGACAGATGGTGTTAAGTGTCCCCTGGCCGCCGCTCGTGCGCTTCCCCGTGCCGGTGGTGCAGAGTCCGTGCTGGGCCCCACACAGGCCGGGCCGCCAGAGGGGGCAGCCCTGCAGGGCCGGAGGCCACACGAGGGTCCGGTGCGCGTGTTCGACATCTCCAAATGAGGAAGGAGACTGCGGGCAAGGAAGGGGCCGCTGGGAGATGTGGTCGTTGTGGGGGAGGGGGAGCAGGAAGGCTCTGAACCCAGAGGGCGGGGCAGTGCCTGGAGGGTAGGAGAGCGTGGCCGTCTACAGCTCATGCCCAGGTGGGTCATGGGAGGGGCCGGCATGAGCTCCCGGTGCTGCCATTATACGCAGGGCCTCCACGGCCAGCGCCCAAGTCCCCGCTGCCCAGGTCCCCCCCCCCCCCCCCCCGCCCCCGGGCTCCCGGCCTTCCTGGGCGCACTTCCAGCGGCAGCCGGCAGGGGGCGGCGGCATCAGGAGTCCAGAACCCCGTCCTCTCCCATTCCCGGAGGCTGTATCTCGGACTCACTAGGAACCCGCAGCTCTTTATTGGAATGTGTCCAACCCACGGCAGTGAGGAGGCTTCACGGAGGCTCAGACGGCCCCGTCCTCAGTCAGCGGGCTCTCCGCCAGCCACGTGTGGCTGCCCGTGGTCAGGAAGTGGGCGGCCCCGGGGAGCCCACGCCCCTTGCAGTCACCTTCCCAGGCTCCAGCCCACCGGCCCCGAGGGTTAGGGTAGCACCTGTACCTGTCTTCGGCACCAGGAGGTCACACACAGACTTCTCAGGCCGCGGTGTGCCTGCCAATTGGGTTCTCCGTGCAGGGAACAAACTCCCGTGGGAAGAAGTGTTCACAGACCAACCGAAGGGACAGCCCACTTCCTGTGCCTCCTGGTGTGCTGCAGGCCACTTGGGCGGAAGTGTCTCCCTCCCGTGGGCCCCCTGCCGGGCCCCCCTGCTGGGGAAGGCTGTCTGCTTCCTCTGTACCCCTCACCTGTGATCTCAGGTGCCCCTCCCAGACCCTCTGCGGCAAGGGGAAACCCTCAGTGGCTGCGTTTCAGTCCCCGTGAAACCCGCCGTGCCTCCTGGGGGAGCTGCGGGCTGGTGTCTTCTCACACTCTGGAATCACCCTCAGGACCTTTGCACGGAGCTTTTCATCTCTTCCAAGCCCGCGGCTCCTTCCATCTGTACTTGCCACCACCCCTCATGCTAACTTCTTTCTTTTGTCCTGGGACAGACCTCACTCTCTCAGGACAATGCCGCTGCCCTAATGCTGGACTACTCGGCCTCCATGGACAGCGCCCACCAGGAGGACACCCCGACCCTCGTGGGGGCGGCCGCTGCCTCCGCCCCACTGCAGGAAGAGGCCTCCGCCCCAGCCCCGCCGGCCCCAGAGCCCCAGGAGGGCGAGCTGGACTCCTGGGACTTGGACAAGGAGTCCCAGGCCTCGGCGTGGGGCAGCCAGGCCCCGCTGGACCTCGACGGGGACGAGCTGTCAGAGAGCTCCCTGAGTGTCTCAGAGCCGGGCACTGCCAAGAAGCATAAAGGTACCCACACCTGCGCCCCCTGCCCCCCAGCCCACCCGCTGGCTTTTCTCTCCTTCCCCTCTCCAAGCTAATCCTCAGTTCCCATCCCCGGCTTCTGCTCCCTCTGCTGCCAGGCCGCCCTGCCCTCGGCACCCCACCCCAGCAAGCAGGGGTGCCCCCGCCCGGAGCCAGTGGGCAGGCGGCATATTCAGAATCCTTCCGTCTCTGCCCCGAGGGCAGCAGTTTCTGGTCATGCCTAAAGGCGCCCTTTCCTCTGTCGGCACTCTGCCCCGCCCCCCTGAAGTAGAACCCTCCAGAACGTATAGAGGGGGTCACCCAGCGACTCGGCACGAAGCCAGCAGACCCCGGGCTTCTGTGGCTGTGGAGACTGGCCCCTCTGCTCACCGTGCCTCAGGCTCATCTCTCCAACTAAAACCCGGCCCGACCTCCGTGCTCGGACCTGCCGGGGTCCGAGGGGAGAGACGTTCCCTGGGAAAGGAAGCGGTTAACTTGCTGTGTGTGTGTGTGTAGTGACCAGTCGTCCTGTCCTGAGGATGACCCGTTGTTCTCCGTTAGCACCACATCGAAGCTTTGCATTTGTAGACTTTGTCCGTGTGTGTGCTTGACTTGGGCTCTGGCATGACAGTCCCCCTCGAGGCCCTTTCTGAGACGAGACAGTCCAGGGGCTCGAGGGCTGTTCTGGGTGGGAGGGTCAGGGAGGGTCAAGCCTCCTGGGCCTCAGCTCCTCTGCGCGAGGCTGTGCTTACCTCCCAGGCAGGAACAACGCGATCCCAGTACAGAGACGGGATGGGAGACAGACGCAGGCGCCTGGTCCCAGCTGGGCGTCGTGGGTGCCGCTCAGCACGAAGTCCTCACCCCTCCCCTCCCGGCCCCCGAGAATGCAGACAGGAGGCCGTCTTGTCCCTCCCGAGGTCGGGAAGCCTGGTTAGCAGCTCTGCGGTTGCCTTGCTCTGCTCCTCTCCTCTTGCCGCCACTGACCAGTGGTTCTCAAACTGGGTGACCGTGCGCCCCCCGCCCGTCCCCTCCAGGGGACACAGCTGTGTCCTGAGGCCGTTTCACTGGCCACAGCTGGGGGCTGGGGTGCTGCTATGCAGCCTGCAGGATGGCCTGGCACATGGTGGCCCATGTCCCTGGGGCTGAGGTTGAGGACTCTGCGGAGGAGGGGGTCTGCTCCACGGGGGTCCACGTGAGCCACACCCTTGCTGAAGCAGAGAGGGCACAGATGGGGACCCGCTGGAAGTTAGAAGGAAGAGGATAGGATCCCTAGGCCATGCAACAGAGATCAGACTGTGGGCCTCTGTCCACCTGCTGGCCCGAGTCAGAGTGACCTGTGCGTGGACCTCTGGTGGCTCCCTTGTCCCGGTTCAGAAGGGGCAGCCCAGGTGACGGGAAAGGAGGCCCGGCTGCAGGTCCACATGGCGGCACACACACCCCCACCCCCCGCCAGCCTGGACTGGGGGCCAGCTCCCTGCCTCAGGGAGCTCCTCTAACCCTGAGGAAGCAGTGTGCGCTGGGCAGAGCGGAAGACGAGATGCAGGGTGGGGTGCCCCTTCCTCCCCCTTCCTTCTCCCGACGGCCAACAGTCCAACAACCCTTCAGCCTGCCCTCCTGCCTTCACTGAGAGGCCGCGCCTCGCTGACCCCGAGTCCATCCAGAGAGCCCCGTTCCCTCCTCCCTGGCATCTTCCTTCTGCTCCTCCGCTTTTCCTTCCAGAGAGTTCTTTGCTGTGGGTTTCCATTTTGGCTGTGCCATGGCCATGCTTCTCCTTTCCCGTCCCTGGCCAGGGGGAGGGCACCCCTGCAAAGGGGCACTCTGAGGGGGCCTGGGTGCTGACCGGTATGCTTGATGCTTCCCCGGAGCCTGGGCCCCGGGGCCACGCTGCATGTGGTGGCGACTGGTGTCGCTCACCCCGCCGGCGCTGTGGATTCGCAAAGGGACGTATTGGGCAGCGTTTCCAAATTTGCTTCTGTTCCAAGGTTTTCGGAGAGACCCAGACCCTGCATCTCTAGGAGAGGTCAGAACCGCAGGCGATTACGGGTGACAGGTGCCCACTCGTTCTTGTCCCCGGGGGTTTTCACCTTGCTGCCTGGGGCCCAGTGGCTGTGGGGAACCTTCTCTCCTTTTAAACTGAAGCTCATTTCCTGGCCGGAGAACCGCGCGCCGCCTGTCCCAGCGGGAGTTCCCGCAGGTCCCCCGAACGGCCGGCGTGTTGCGAAGCCTGCGAGTTCGCTGGTTGGACACACGCGTTCTCCTGAGGCTGCAGCCAACACAGGAAGTCCAGTCCCCAGATCTGGGCTTATATTTAGCGTCACCAAGTGTCCGTGCGGTCGCACGGCAAGGGGAAGGCCCGGAATGGGACTGTGGACTTGGAGGTGGTTAGGACGGGAGAGTCCGTGTCGTGTGGACTTTACCGTAAGGAAGAGCAAAACGATGGATGAAACTTTGACAAATATTAAGGAGTGAAAAAACAAAACCAGACAACCCCCCCGCAGCCCCCAAGCCCGGCCAGATGTCCTGCCCTGTAACGTCACATGTGCATGGGCACGGCGCCCTGGGACTCACTGCCTGTCCCCCTTGTTTGGCTCCTGCGTACTTTCTTTTAACCTCTGACCTCTTCCTTCCCGTCATCTCGTGCTCATTACCTTTAACTTAAGAGGATCGCTATGCCAACCAGAATTAATTGCCTACACAGTAAGTTATTTTTGTCTTATTGGTATTTATTTATTTATTTTTAAATCTGACTACAGCCTTGCTGTGAGAAAAGCCTGTTTCGCAAGAGCAGGAAGCAGATCCCCTTTCCCTGCTTTCCTGTGCCTTTGCGGCGTGACCTGCCCGGGCTGCTAGTTTCCCCGTCTTCCTCCTCGGACATGCCCTGGTCCCATTAGTGTAGCTCCTTTGCCTCGGGGGTCGGGGCGCTGTCCTTGGCTCAGGGGACAGCCAGCCTCGTGCCCGGTCGAGTGCCCACCCTTTGCTGGGCCCTGGTTCTAACAAGCGGTCCCTTTTCTACACGGATGGTCTGTGGTTTGGCTTGACTTCCGGAGCTGTTCTGCGGGCAGCAGACTACAACATGCCCAGGGACCCTGGTCACTGGCCTCCGACCTCTCTGACGGATTCTCCGGTGACCTGTTCATGTCTGTTAGGGTCGGTGGAGGCAAACGAGAATAAATTTGCAGATATTTGCTATACTAAAGCTCCCATTTAGAGGAATTATTTTTGATTCTTTTCCTATTTGTTTATTCTTTAGCCCATTTGTGATTTTTTTTTAAACCTTGCTAGAACCAGGGGAAGATTCCTTTTTTTCTCCTCGGTCCCCCATTTAAGACGTTGGGGCTGTTTGTTTCAAATTCCACGTACCTCCTCTCCAGATTTTACCTGAAGGAACCTCAAAGGCTCAGGTCTGGGCGGGCGAGGTCTGATTCTCGCTCGTGCCCGCTAGAGCGGCCAAGAAGGTCTGGAACTTGCTCTGTAAAACCCGGAGCGCTCCAGCCCCTCCTGCTCAGGCCCTGTGACCATCCCCATCCGCAAAGGTGACAGACTCTGGGGGCCCAGAGGCAAGGGTGACGTTCCAAACTGTTAGTTACCGTCTTAGCCAGAGTTCTCTAGACAGAACCACAGGTGCTACATTTCAGGGAAGTGGCTCACGCCATCCTGGGGTCTGAAATCTGTGGGGCGGGGTGGCCGGCTGGACAGACTGCCGTCTTCTCCCCGAGGGAGCCCTGGGCGTTGGCTCTCAAGGCGCTGAGCCGATGGTATGAAGGCCAAGCACGCCATCCAGGGTGACGTGCTCTAGTCCGGGAGAGCCGGAGGCACGGTTAACCTCTCCTCTCCCGAGTTCCCTCCCGGGACAGATGAGTGTTGGACTCAGTCACGGGGCATGCTGGACAGGAAGACGCCAGGGACAGAGCAGCACGGTCCCGGGGAGCTGAGGAAGCTCCGTTCCCTGTCCCTTCCCAGCTGACGGGGGTGTGTGCTGGCATGTCTGTCCTTGACCCCCACACCTCCACGGAGTGGCGGGGTCCGTGTCCCCTCCGTGGCCTTGTTCTTCTGGCTCTACTTCCCCCAAAGGTCACTGTGATTCGTCCCCCAGATCTAAACGTTCTTAACATTTTTATCTGGAAAGGAGAAAGGCATGACTTCCATTCACGCTAGTCATTCTTCACGTTTGAGGAATTAAGCTGTGGGTCTGGGAGGGACTTGCGTCCTGTCTTAACACGTGCTATCAGAACGTCAAGACTGACAGGGTTCCAGAAAGCCCGTCCACGTCCATGCTGGAGTACAGGGCCGCGCTCTGGGATGCTCTGAGGACCGAGACTCATCCCGCTCCCAGGGGGCTCCCCGGTGACCGCCCATGCAGGTGTCCTTGACCAGACACCTGCTCGCCCCGTCCCCCGGGGTGGGACCCGTCCACGGCCGGCTCAGACAGCAGGTCTCACGCATCGAGGGGAGCCAGGCACGAGCACACGGGCTTTCTGCCCTGGGGCCCCTGCTAGCGGGGCCCGGCACATCACTGCCAGGAATAAGGTCTCCCTCAGACACCTCTGGGAGACAGGAGCAGGGCTCCAGCCTACAGATCTGCAAACCTCAGCCCCTCCTTTCACACGACCCCTCCATCCGAGGCGGCGGTGGTGTCCCCGTAGAAGCCGTGACAAGTCATGTCAAGTTACGGGGCATCACCTGGTTCTTGTATGAATGCAGAACAGTCAGATTTGCCAAAACTGCAGACCTGCTCGGAGAGCCTGTGTGGGGACGGAAGCGCAGCAGACAGCGCGCTACAGGCCCGGCCCTGGGACGCGTGGGAGCAGACCTTAGCTCGTGGGACACTGCAGCGGGCACGAGTGTTTCCAGTCAGCACGGCACACGGGTCTGCCCACTGTCCGGACTTTATTCGCAGCCTAGAAGTCCCTGATAATTCATCTTAATATGGCAAGAATTTGAGTTTTAGTCATTTCAATCTTGAAGTTTTTTTATTATTAGAGCAAGTCAGCATGCCTGCAAGTCCGCGGGGACGGGCAGAAGGAGAGAGAATCCCAAGCAGGCTCCCCCCACTTAGCACAGAGCCTGATGCCGGGCTCGATCCCATGACCTCGAGATCATGACCTGAGCCAAAACCAGGAGTCGGATGCTTAACCAACTGAGCCATCCAGCGCCCCAAGTGCAATTTCATTTACAAGAGTGAAAGTGACGGCTTAGAAACGTGTAGATTCCCTTTCTAGAGAGCTGTGAACACAGCCACTCCTGGCCCTCTCTGTGCTCTGGTTTTCCTCCGAATCTGGGGCAGACCGTGCTTCCCGGCATCAGGTGCTGGTCTGTCCCGCAGCACACAGCCTTGTGCTCAGAAACGGACAGTGTCCCGGCTCCGGAGGTCAGAAGTCCAGAGGCCTCCTGACGACGGAGACTCTGCTCCGTGTTCTCCCCAGGTTTCTGGTGTCCACTGGCGTCCTTGCCCTCCCCTGGCTTGTGGAAGCGTGACCCCCATCCCTGCCTCCGTGGGTGCCCTCCCCGTGGGCGCGCCTGCGTCCACAGTTCTCTGAGTAAGGACACGTCCTGTTGGCAGAGCGCCCGCCTGGTTTTACCGTTGATGAATCCCCTCTGTTGTCTCTGGGGTCTCGGGACCCCAACCAACGAATTCCGGAGGGACATGATCCAACCCAGAACAGCACCCGCACTCACACCAGACCCCTGCCCAACTTTCAGTGCACGGACCCCTGGAGTGGGGTCTGGAGACGCGGTTCTCTGGGACCGCCCCATCCCTGCTGGACCTCCCCGCCTTCCTCTCCTCTGTTTCGTGGGGACCCCTTATTTATATGCTCTTCAGGGACCCCAAGCTGAGCCTAAAGCAGGTTCCTGCAGTTCAGAATCACGTTCTGGGCCTCAGCGACCCCAGGTAACTCGGTCGGCTGGAGCCCCTCCCAGTGCCTGGGGCATCCTACAGGCCGGGGAGTAAACCCGTGGGCGCCAGGGCTCCTGCCCCACTGGCGGGGCTGCAGCGACAAATCCAGCTGGTACAGTGACTGGTGGCGTGACAGCCCCCAGCTGGGGATTTTTCAGGACAGGCCACTTCTTACGGGGATGGACCAGCTCTAGGAACAGACACTCGTGGCCCCCAGATGTAGCGCAGCAGTCCTGTGGTGAGGGGAGAGCCACGGACACGTCTGTAGTCTCCTTCGTGCTGCCTCCCCCGCCCACTGTCCTGGAAACCCCTGCACACAGCCCCTCCCCATTAGATCCTTGTACACACGTCCTCAGGATTCTGTGTAAGAGGCTGTTTGCTTATATCCAAAGAGAAGGGGTGGGGGGAGACCTTTTCAGTACCTTTCCCAGGTGACATTGGGCCTCTGCCTCCGGGCTCCGGAGCTCTGGGGTGCGCCCCGAGCGGAAGGATGCCCGTCCTTGGTGCCAGTTCCCACGAGTGGCCTCTTGAGGTCACGGGCACACTGCTCGGATGTGCTGACTGTTCCAAGTCCACACACGGGGCTAGGCCTGATTCCACCGCTGTCCACTCGCAGAGCCGGCAGGTGTCTCTCGGGGTCCCCCCAAACAAACATTCAAGTATCTGTTGGCTCGAGCGTGAGAGTAACGAATTGCCGAAGAGCCGTGGAGCCCCTTGCCCGGACGGCCAGACAGCCCTGTCCAGAGCCGCCGGCACCGACACGCGGGTGTGATGACTCCAGGGCTGGTGGAGAGGTGCTCTGACCCCTGCTGGGGTTTTCATAGCAGGGCTGTCTTTTCTGGGGGTGGGGGCCGGGGAACCCCAGGGGGACAGCCCACCGCCTTCAGTCTTGACTAGGAGGCGGGGGAGAGAGAGGCCTCCCCGGGTTGCACCTGACCAGCTCATGGCTTCTGGGCTCAGAGTCTGTCCATCCTGAAAACTCGGGGGTTTGGTCCAGGCCAGATTCCAGCAGCTTCTCCCGGGTGGCTACAGCGACCACCCAGCAAAGTCAGAAACCGCTCTTACTCGAGCCTCTCAAAAGTCCTTGTTTGTTTCCATCTTGGACGAGTGGTCCCTGCGTTCCCGCCACAGCCCACCTGACCGGCCCCTGTGCTTCTCCCTGCAGGAGGGATTTTAAGGAAAGGCGCAAAGCTGTTCTTCCGCCGGCGACAGCAACAGAAAGACCCCGGCATGAGCCAGTCGCACAATGACCTCGTGTTCCTGCAGCAGCCGGAGGGGGCCCGGAGGAAGGGGGCGACACTCTCCAGGATCCTGAACAAGAAGCTGCTCTCCAGACACAGAAGCAAGAGTGCCATGAACGGGGCTCCGGCGGACCCCGCGGCCGGCCCCCTGCCTCACCAGGACGCAGGGAGACGCGGGCCCCCCTAACCACCCGCCAGGACGGAGCGAGAGGGCCCGCACACTGTCAGATGGCCGCCTGGCCTGGCTGGGGGAAAGGGGAACGGAATCCTGAGTTCCCGGCCGGGAGGCTTCCCCCAGAGACACCTGACAAAGTCCGATTTGCCACCAGATGCCCAGGGAGACCCAAAGCTCTGCTCCCACCCAAGAGCAGAAGTTAAACGCGAGAAGATTTATGTTAGGAACTAAAGAACGTCCTGTGATGGACGGAGATGGGGCAGGTGCGGGGCACTCGGTCTTAACCCTGCTGCTGCGCTCAGACACATAGTACCTTGGGTCCACGCCCAGACCATGTCCCAAAGAGGAGGTGTCCCCCTGTGCTGTCCCTGGGAATGGAATGGATGAGTCACCTGTCCTCGCGGGTGGCTCAGCATCACGGTGCAGCCGGCCCTGAGTACGGAGAGGTGGGACAGAGGCAGCATTTGGGGTCCGCAGGGAAATTACGGTGGTAATGAGAACACTATGACAAAGGAAGAGGACAGTTGCCTTTCGTATTAGCCATAGAACTTGAAACCATATGCAAACACTAAATTCTGCGCACCTTATGCCGAGTGCTCCTGGTGTTTACTCTGAGCCCGTTTGCACGCGGGGAGCTAGCAATCCCTGTGTGGTTTTACGTGTCCCTCTCTTGTGTCGAAAGTGCTGGGGGGAGGGGGCTCTCCAGGGAGGCTGGGAGCCGTCAGTGGTAGCCAGCGCCACGGCGACCACACGTGCACACACACGCGCGCACACGGTTTCTCTTCCCTCCACGGCCAGTTTCCCAAACGCCGCCAACGGCGGAAGCCGAGTGCTTCTAGGACCAGAGAGGAAGCTGTCGTATGTCTCAGGAGTCTTCAGGGTAGAAGTTTCGTAACAAACGGGCCAAACGTCGCATCCCAGTCCTCTCGGGAGCTCTCCAGAATTCTGCCGTGAACGGTGCGCCGCCCGTCTTGGTCCTTGTTTTGGTTTCCCGTGGGGGAGAGAAAAGATAAAGGCGGCCCACCACGTGCATATCTCTGTGTACCCCTCAAGCCATGGTCCTCGTCTGTCCGCCCGTCTGTGTGTCTGCGCCGCTGGCCCATCCGTCCAAAGGGGCCACTTTCAGGGGACGAGCTTGTCAGGGCTGTGGTCGTTCCTGAGAAACATCTGATGGTTTAACACGATTCGCTTTCTTCCTGCGAGATTTCAAAGGCTTTCGTGAAGGCTGACCTCTGTCCCGCATAGGAAACTGGGGGGGCTCCTCCCCACACGCGCTTTTGTTGATCCTTAAACCCATCTTTCAGGGGTAACAGAGCCACTACCGATCAAAACCTTCCCGAAAACCCAGATTACGGAACTTTCTTCCTTTTCCTTGAGAGCGAGATTATAAAACCACATGAAGGCCATTACTTGGAAATGCACACTCAGAAAGCCTCCGGTGTCCCGGGAGTCACCAGGTGACTGTAAAATGAGTTTTTATAGGGGACATTCTGTTTTTTGTCGGCATGAAGTGGCATGGGGAACGCCAACATGTCGTCATACCAAGTCAGTCCTCGCAGGCTGGTCACTACTTGTCTTCCTGGAACACGTCCGGTCACTGGTCTTACTGGAAGGACTGCCGCCTTTCCTCCCACGGTAGGACGCCCTGGGGATAGTCAAGAATTCTCGGAGGACGTTACACGTCAGACTTTCAGGCACAGGTCAGAAGGTCTTAGCACAGTTTTTTGTTTGACTTTGAAGTTCAGATCAGCTCAATTTAGTCAATGTGACGGTATCGGAGTTTTACGCCGGCACTTTCTTGTGCTCAAAAAAAACCCGTCTCAGGCATTCCCATTTCTGACTGACCCCAGGAGCATTTGTTCACTGTTTCATCCTTTTGCCAAAGGCTCTTGTTTTCTCCACTTCCCGGTGACTCGAGGCCTCTTCTGGGTCCCGGGTGAGCGACGGGTGGGCTGCGTCTGTTCCGCATTCGACGCAGGACCGTAGCGTGAGAGGTGGAGAGTGGTAAGGAGATGCGTGTTTCTGTGTGTGTGTCGGGCACCTGTCAGGGGCCCCGTACCTCTAAGCAAGATCAGGAGCTCCTCCTCGAGACGTGCACACGTTTTCTCCGTCTGAGGGCCTTTCCTGAGCTCGCAGGACACTCGCGAGAGCACGGAGGGCGCGGGAACAGAGCCGCGTGAGAAAGCGGGCCGCGTTGATACTGTGAATGCTGCTTTCCGGGCCGTTTGGCCGGCCTGTGCTTTTGCGGGGTCGGCATTTACGTGGAAGGAAATGGGAAGGTTCCGCGCCAATTAAGGTTATACACCAAATGCTAACCGTACCGACCCGTAAGCCCCTCATTCCCTTGCCTTTCCTTATGCTTTACTGGCGCGGGGGCTCCTGATTCCGTGTTTCGCTCACGATATTTTTGCAGACTCGTGTTTCGGAGCGATTTCGCACGCGTGAACGGGAACGTGTCTGTGTCTGGAAGCGGGTGTCCCGTTGCTCGTGAGCTGGGGCAGTGCCCTGCGCTCAGGGACGTCCCCGTGTTTGCAGAGGAACGCGTGGGAGCCTGCAGTGTGTGTGTCTGTGTGTGCACGCGTGTGTTCACAGGGCGGCAGTAACAAAAGCGCCGATCTCACTGTCCGGACGGAAACCGCTGTGAAGACGACGGTGTAGACAGAGCACTTTATGTAAATCCACTCCCAAGTTTAAGTTTAAAAGCAGCCCTTGATGCCTCCTGAGAGCTCCGGGGCCGGTCGCCGGCCACCAGCCACAAGTGAGGTGCCCATCGCGGCGTCTGATTGGTTCTTCCGGCTGCCTCTACGGAAGACGGTTGCGAGTTTTCTTCTTGAGCAGAAAGGGACTCGTTCACGCCCGTGGCTGCCAGCAGCCACTGGGGTTTTCCTGGCAAGAGCCTCACAGTCCTGACACCTCAGGGCACAAGCTGGGGGACCCCGGAGGACAGAACGTGGATGTCCGCTGGGTGGAAACCAGTCTTGCGCTGGCGTAGACCCCAACGCCGGGCCCTCCCACCCCGGCCCCACGCCTGCTCGGGCCCTATCACCAAAGCACGTGGTATGGACACGCAGGTGCTGCTACGTTCTGCAAAGCAAACTCAGGTCCCCTCCCGGCCCCCATCCTCGCATTCCTGTCCCACGTGACAGGAGGCATCCGGCGTACGTCAACCCGCCTAGTTCGCCCAGCTTCCAAGTGCTCAGAAACATTTACAAGTCAGCCTTGTAGGACCCCCTCCCCCAAGGTCACATCAGAGCTGCATTTTTTAAAAAGAAAACGAAAGGTCTTCCAGGTGTGTGGCAAGGTCTGTCTTGACGCTCAGTGTGGTGACGAACGTGCTGGACAGTGACCGTATTCCTCGGTAGCTCTGTCAACACAAGTCCCCGTCCCGCACCAAACTGTGGGAGACGTTCTGGGATGTAAACAGTCTTTGAAAGAAATAAACGTGCACTTGGGACACGAAACACGGCCTTGTGTTTGCTGAGCCCTGGGCTGTCCCTCAGGTCCCGCGTCTGTCCCGGGGTCCCGGATCCCGGTCCGTCTGCTGCGTGATGCTCGGTGGCCGGCTGGTGTACAAGCCCACCGTGGTCAGCGGCGTGGAAGAGGAGGCGTGGCCACTGCCACTTGCTCTGTTCCAGGCAGACGCCCTTCCTCACACTCTTCTGCTGTACTGGCTTCGTTTTGGGCCCGGGGCTACACCCATTTACTAGAAAGTCAACGTTTCCAGGGGCCCCCGGGGTCATGGTGCATGGGGGGTGCTATCAGGGTCGGCTGGCCTGGGTCCTCCCACCGTGCAAGCTGGCGGGAGATGCCTCTGCGTGACCCCCGGCGATCTGAGGGGCACTGTCCTCTAGGAGGCCATCTTTTTAATATGTCCCTCAGCTCCCGGTCAACATCCGCCCCCAGGGTGGCCCGTGGAGGGTGGCGTGGAGCGGGCTCCCACGTGGGCTCAACTGAGCCAATCCCTGGTGTCTCGCTGGTGCAGGGCTTGTGCTGGTCCTGGCGGGGTCGGGGGGAGGGCAGGGCACAGCCAGACAGAGGGACAGGTCCCGCACAAAACTGCAGGCATCTCGGCTCCTTCCTGGGGGTCAGTGACTCTGTTTCCCTCCCTCCTTCCTTGCTCTGCCAGGCACTACAGCATTCGGAGGAGTGAGGCGTGCACGGTGCCCCTTGGTGGGGTGGCCCCACCGGGTAGGGAGTAGGAGCCGACGATTCAGGCCTTTGCCTGCGAGGGGAGCCATGTACCCGTGCACGGCTCCAGCCATCCCGGGCTTGGGTCCGCAGTCTCAGCTCTGGATGTGGCAAGCCGTGGCAGCCCGGTGTCTCATTTGCGGTGGAGGCGTCCGGCAGTCTGAGACCACCCCGCCGCGTCCTGCGTGACCTGGGGTCCGTTCTGGGCCGACGCTGTATCAGGAGGCCTGACAGGCCTGCTAGACGGCCAGCCCTGCCCTAAGGGACCAGCTTTCCCCACTGGATCTCCTGCCGGTCACCTCGAGGCACACACTGGACTCCTACCAGACCCGTCTACATTAGCCACGTTTTTTTTATTTTAGAGAAAGAAGAGAGAGGAGAGAAAGCGCATGAGTGGGAGGAGGGGCAGAGGAGAGAGAGAATCTTCAGCAGGTTCCATGTCTAGTGTGGAGCCCAACGCAGGGCCTGAGCTTGTGACCTGAGCCAAAATTGAGAGTTGGGACCCTCGGCCGACTGAGCCACCCAGGTGCCCCGCCCCCGACAACCCATGTTAATCCACACCAGCCACCCCCAGACTGTGAATGTGCCCCCCCTGTCCCTAGTACGACCCACCAAACACAAGCCCACCTTCTCCGTGAAGTAGCTTCTGCCACTGAGGACAGCCCCGAGCACCAGGCACTTCCTTCGGTCCCTGTCACTTGTCCCCATATTGCTTCCCCTTACACCGGTTCCCAGGCAGGCAGTGAACCTGTTGGGCTGAGGGCAGTGTAGACCTAGTGAGTAATGAGAGGTATCACCTGGCCCCCATCTATGAGCCCATTTTACCCCGGCTCACAGGAACCCAGGCGCAGGGGACAGAGCCCGCCAGGGAGCCGAGGACAAAACCGTGCCACTGTTCACCTTGGCCATCTCCACAAATACAGGGGCTGCAAGTAGAGGTCAATACCTCGTTCGCAGAAAAGGCAGGTTGGTCCCGCAGAGGTTGGCCACCAGGATGGAGGACTGGCACAGGGCCCTCTTCCCACGGCGCCCGAGAGACACCCACGGTCACGCTCTGCCCACCACTGTCCCCGGCTCCGCACGGCCACTTCCACTGTGCAAACCGCCACCTGGTGTCCCGTGCGTGGCAAGCATCCGGAACTACTGATGATCCTGGTCTAAAGCCGGGTGCTCAGGCGCCTGGGCTACTTGGTATTTTACACAAAACCTAGATAAAGATTCACGATCACAGCGATGGTAACTGATAGGAGTCGAGCACGTGCTACTGGCCAGAACTCTGTCCGGAGTTTTACATCTACTGACTCCTACACTCTTTGAAACAACCCCTTGAGTTATGATCCGTGTCCACGCCACAGACTAGGAAACTGAGGCCCAGAGAGGTTCAGTGACTTGTCCAAGATCACGCAGTGGTTAAGAGGTGGGAACACTATAAAGCAAGAAGCACCGCTCTGCACAGAGTGAGGAAAATCACTTGCTGATTAGATCCCTCGCTTTATCTGGGCAAGAAAACCCGCCCGATCACAAGCTGGAGGGAGTGTAGAGAAGTGGCTTAGGATATTTATTTTTTATAACATCTGGTACGAAAGGAGTCAATTAACAAAAAACCAGGGCTGATGAGACACGGGACTTGGAACGTACATGTCTGAGGCAGCCCAAGTCAGGACCGAGAACACGGTGTCATGAAGCCTCAAACCCACAGCTCGTCTTGCTCCTGGAGAACCGTGCCCGTAGGCAAATCCACTCAGAGATGGAAGCTCTTCTCATGTTTAATTTCCTCAGCTTACTTTTAAGAATTTCTGGGGCGCCTGGGGGGCTCTGTCGGTAATCATCTGCATCGACTCAGGTCATGATCCCGGGGTCCTGGGATCGAGTCCCGCTTCGGGCTCCCTGCTCTGCAGGGAGCCTGCTTCTCCCTCTCCCACTCCCCCTGCTTGTGCTCACTCGCTCTCTCTGACAAATAAGTAAAATCTTAAAAAATAAATTAAATAAATAAAAATGTCAAACCTACAGAATAACCCATGTAGAGATTCACTGACTTGGGTATAACTGTGCTACCTACCCATGACCTCTTGATCCACTGCTGTGTGGAGACATCGTGTTTTACCCGAAATGCTTCAGAACGCGTTTTCTGAGAAGGACGGCATCATCACGCCCAGTGGTGATGCGCAGTGTCTCGGGCTGCGGGGGAGCGCTTGGGGAGCTGGGCACTGAGGCTGCCAGGTATCGGGCTCTGTTCAGGTCTCCCCAGCTGCCCAGGAACATCGTTTACAGGTGGCTTTTCTTTTGTTTTCCTGCTTGGGGTTCAGGCAAGGTTCCTACATTGTTTTTGTTACGTTACTCATAAATTTGACACTTTTAGAAACACAACTTTGAAAAAAATTTGGTATATCCGATAGATCAGAGAAAGACAATTACGTGATTTTATTCATACATGGAATTTCAGAAACAAAACCCATGTACACAGGGGAAGGGAAGGAAAAATAAAACAAGAGGAAATCAGAGAGGGAGGCAAATCAGAAGGGACCCTAACTCCAGGAAATGAACTGAGGGTCGCTGGAGGGGAGCAGGGTGGTGGGGTGGGGTAAGTGGGGGATGGGCATTCAGGAGGGCACAGGATGTGATGACCACTGGGCGTTGTATGTTACTGATGAATCACTGAGAGACCTCTGAAACTAATAAAAAAAATAATAAAATTCTGGATAGAAATCTGCCTTGAAAGGAACTGCTTCCAGCCTTTGTAGAAGACGTATACTGAACACACCGAAAATTCTCCTGAAGATTTAATGAGCATCGCGGATATGAATCCCAGCCCCGTGCTACATACTAACATGAGAAATGGCTTCAGGGGGTTCGGGTCTTCCACTTTTACAGGTTTTCACTCTTGCTGTAACCTGTCCATTTTTTCTGCCAACAACCTACTCTTGCTCATGCTTGCCAGAACCTCTGGTGTGCGGAGGCCCAGAGAAGCTGCCCCCTGGGCGCTGAGAACTGGGAGTGGTCACTCAAGGGGTGGGAGGTAGGCAAGGGGTGTCTATTAGCTGTAGCGGTCAGTCTGGGGCTCCTGGGGATTGAGCAGAGACCCGAATGCTGAAAAGATGGCGGTGGAGAACCCCAGGAGAGCATTCCAAGGTAGAGGGAATCTGTGCAAAAGACCTCGAGGATGGCTGAGGGACAAAAGGCTGGAGGAAGGCGGGGATCCCATAGCTGGGGGACAGGGGTATGAGCAGGGTAAGGGCGAGATGATCAAGAGAGGTGTGGGAGGCTGGGATGCAGACCTAGGGAGGGCGGACCCATGAGCCCCAGCAGTCCGAGACACTGCGCATACCCCGCCCCACCCCCCACACCTGCTCAACCTTCCACCCTACAGCGGGGGCCCTCCAATGGGTCCTCACTTAATACCAGTCCACACAAGTTCGTCCGGCTGTTGAATAATCCAGCTCGTGGGGCTGCCGTGCCCGAGGCTCTACGCATTTGGAATTTCCATATTAACAAATGGCCCAGATGGGGGCTATACCGAATCAGTCTCCCACCAGGAAAAGATGAGACACCTTATTTTCTACAGTCTCTTCAAAATTATGCTATTAAGCTTAAAAAAAAAAATCTTTGCTAATGTAACAGATAAAGACGATTGCACTCAATGTTGCCTTTTCTCTCTTGTACAGTGCACAGCCTTGCTGATGCCTAAGAAGCACCGTATGTCCCTTACCAGGAAGGGTCCGTTTTCCTACACGGCTGTCTCTTTCCTGCTGATTCCGTGGAGCCCTTTCTCACGCCAGCTGCAAACCATTTCCCACAGCTCATCCCCTGCAAACCATTTCCCACAGCTCATCCTCTCCGGCGGAGCTCTCCGCCGAGCACAACGAAGAGGACAGCTCTCCGGCCCTGCGCCCGACACTTACAGGCCCCTCTAGTTCCTTCTATTCGCAACATTCTGCGGCTGCCGCAGGTACATTCCAGGCAGGGCGTCCAGAGGCCTCGCAGGCCGGGAGAACCGGGGGGACAGGCGGGGGCAGAAACAGCCCCAGGGAGCAGTGTGGCCTTCAAAGCTGCCCTGACCAGGGCGGTGCTGGTCCCAAACTTTCCAAGGAGCCGCACGGCACCGGTCAGGGTGTGGATTTCGGGAGCCCGCGGTGCCCAACCGTCTCCGCTGAGCTTGTGGGGGCACAGGGCAGCTCCCCTGCACGTGCGGGCGGACCTGGAGGACGACGCACCCACCCGCGGCTTCCCGGGTTACCTGTGATCCAGCAGCAGACCTCAGACGCCCGCGAGAAGT